GGGGACGCGCGCCGAGGCAAGCCGCTTCAGGGGCTCCGTCCCGGCCTGTCGCGGCAGTCTCGCAGCGTTGGCAGGCAAGTGTGGAGAGGGGCCGGGTCAGGGCAAGTAATCCTGCTAATAATGGCTGAAAACAGGGCGGGCCCGTTGAAATAACCCTCTTGGAAGGCACGCGCGTGTCTTTGATTACAGCCTGTAAAATGTAAGATACGTTTGAATTTAAAGGTTGATTCTCTGTATGTTAACTTGGTAAACTCATTTTTTTTTGTCTTCTGTGATACAAAAATATGGATGTGATGCATAGATCTTCGTGGAGTTTTACACGAGATCCACATCACACCGCAGTTCCTCCATCTGAACGCCCAGGCAGTGTTTTTTGGTCGTGCCGTAACACCCATGAACTGAAGCACAAATCCTCTATTTGCATGACTTTTACTTGGGATCCAGGATATTACAGATTACACTTGTCTGCACAGATTGAGGCATAATCACAGACCTTAAAAGTTTTGGTGTTGCTGTGGTGCAAAATCAGGCATTTGATTTTGCATTATTTTTACCTGTGCTCCACATGAAACCTTTGTAGAACCACAGACCACACCTGTCTGCACACAATCAGACGTCTGAATCTAGTGTCCTTGTAGTTTTGTACTCTGTACTCGGTGACTCTGATGTTGTAGAAGGAAAAGGGAATGGCTTTGAAGGAGAGGAGGAAGAGCTGCTGCCAAGCCAACAATCAGGTAAGGTGGGCTTGAGCCCATGCCAAGAAAATAACTTGAGAAAAGGTCTCAGTCAGCCCCACCCCCCAGTTTACACAAAGATAAAGGGAGGGGGAAGCACTTCAGACTTGCAATATTTGGTTGCTATAGCTGTTACAATAAAAGAAGTCTTAATCTAAATGGCATTGGTCTACCTTATAAGGTTGGCAGATGTAAATATTTAATATTTCATTAAAAATGTGGTGCTTATCACAATTATGGTAAGAGGCTTAGGAGCATTTTTTAAGAAGATTAGACCAGTGAAGGGGGTAGTAGATGTAAACATCAACTGTGATTATTTCTGATACCTGATTGTTTCATATGACCAAAAGATAGCAGGATAGAACTGTGGGTTAACTATGTAGCGTTGGCACTTCAGTCCAAATTGTTAGATATATTTATCTTTGTATAGTGTAGAAATAGAGTTTCAAGAAGGTTTACAGTTTTTAAAAACACTGACTTTGCCCAGTGGAGTTTCATGTAAATATTAAGAAGCAGGGGTGGGGGGGGGGACAAAATAGAATCATAAGGCTCATTTACGAGCAGATGGATTGAAAAGTAGCCTTTTCACCATTTTCTGAATTCTATTCTCTGAGAAATTGTCAGGACACAAAACACTCTAGTACTGTTTTTTAAAATAGAATATTAATGCAGTCTTTCCAGTCTAGTGCAGTGTAAGAACTGGATTGTTTTGAAGGTCATTTAAAAGAGAATACTCTTTTATAGCCTTGTTATTCTTTTGTATTCTTGTTGATCCATAAGGATTTGTGCCTCAAGATCTACGGTGTAGTTCTGATTTGGTAGCACCTTTGGATAAATGTCATGAGTATTCTTGCTAATTTATTTGTGCCATGCAAATTCCAAAAATATCCACATCTGTTACTATTCTTGCTGGTTCCATGGTGAATGCCAAGTAAATGCCAGAAGCTTTTCTTGTCTACACTTCTGAGTTAACTATTGTCCCAGTAATCTAGGTTTGTTCCCCATTGCATTAAGAATTAAAAGCCTTAATTATTACTCTGAAGAACAATTGCAATTGCAGGCAACAAATGTGTGAATGAATTTGCTCATCTAGCAAATTAATTCTGGTTGTTTCAGGTGTACTAGTATTTATATCTGGATGAGGAGACAATCTGTTCAAGCAAAATTATGTTAGTATCTGTAATGATTATACTTAAGATTAAATTATAAGTGAAGAGAATGTGGACACTTAATGATTCCAGGTACATGCAGCATGAAAATGGTTGGCCCACTGAGACACATTGAAATTATAGTTCAGCAGCTTAACAGATTCAGTCCTGAAAATGAGAGTGTTGGGCGTTTCCTAGATGAATCAGCTAAAGTATTACAGGTATGAGATGTCTCCTGAAACATTCAGAAAATGCACATTTAAAATATGATATTTCTAAATTTCAAGAGATGTGTATTAGATATATATGGGGTTTTCCATTTTAAACAGGTAACTTTCTCTAAGGAGGTTATAATACGTATATGTCTGTACTGTATACAAAAGAAATTTGGTTTGTGAATTGCACAAGGTCTTTGGTATAAACAAGCTGTGGAGGGGCATTCATTTCTTTTTTTTTCTTTCCATGATGGTGGGGGAGTGCAGCAAGAGTTCTTATCTCAGCTTTCCCTAGCTCTTTTTATCTCTCATTTATTTCTAATTACAGGTAGTCCTTGCTTAACAACCATTTGTTTAATGACGGTTCGAAGTTATGACGGCCTCAGAAAGGGTGCTTTTTTACAGCCTGTAAAGCACTGCTGACCATTGTAAATAGTCTTGCCGCCCTCTGCACCGCAGTCACATGGCTGCATTTTGAGTGCTTGGCAACCGGCTTGCATTTACGACCGGTTTCCAAGTGCCTGTGATCATTGATCACCACTTGGAGTTTTTTTTGCTGGCTTCCCATTGGAAGCTGGCAGGAAAGGTTGCAAGCAGAGGGGATGCGGTGATGTGCAGGAACAGAGCTGAAATTCTAAAGATTATATCTTCGTTCCTCCAGCTCCACCAAGGATTTCCACTCTGTTCATGAAGGGGAGGGGAAACTCCTGAAGATTTGAGCTCCATTCCTGCCCACCACTGAGAGGGGAGGAGAAACCTCTCAGCGGTTGGCAGATACGCAGGTTCCTGCCCACCTTAAGAGGTTTCCCCTTCCTTCTCAGGAGTGGGCAGGAATGGAACTTAAATCCTGAAGATTTGAGCTCTGTTCCTCCAGCCCCAAGAAGGATTTACCCTCCGTCCATGGAGGGGAGGGCAAACCCTTCTGCAGTTTTAGGAATGTTTGAGAGCAAAAGGCCTGCTGAAATCCTTCAGCAGACAGCCCTTTTGGTCTGCCTGCATAATGATCAGGGAGATTGCTTAATGACCACAACCGGGAGTGCCCAGATTGCAGTCATTAAGCAAAGCAGTCATGTGGGCATCTCAATTATTGATCCCAATTATGGTCGTTAGGTGAGGACTACCTGTAACTAGTTCTAAACTAATTTTTCAACCAATTAGACAGTCCTTTGTCTAAAGTGGTCTTAGGATTTTTCTTTTTTGGATACTTTTTTTTATTACTAATTTCTTCAATGGGGAAGAAGAAAAAGAGGACTTGAATGAACTCTGGACATTCAAACTCCAAGAAATCCCTGAAACAATTAAAGTTTGATAAACTGGTGTCTGGACCTGACTCTGTGTCAGTAAGTGGAGAATAGAATAGCATAACGTAACATAAGCATAGCAGTGAACTCATATAAGTTAATCTTGAGAAGCAACATACAAGATTCTTGTTTGGATGACTTAACTCATTCTTTCTCACATACTCTATCAGAAGAAATTGAACTCAAGAACTCTTTTGCCCTGCCACCTGGAAACAAACAAGACTTTGTTCATTGAAGAATAATAGACTGATACTCTTCTACCTGCCTTTTAAAGAGCCCTAAAAATGTTCTAATCTACACAGCATCTCTGATGGCAATATGCCTCCTCCGTTATTTATTAAGTGCAGCACAAGTATTCTCTAGGGAGCATATTCCCTCTTCTGCTTGCCCTTGGTCAAGTTAATATCTCACCATAATACTCGCTGCTGAGGAATTGCTGCAAAAGCCTTTATCTTCTGGGTTACTGGCTGCACTTACCAGTGTGAGGAAACTTGATTTATTTTTTTCAACAAAAATATGACTATATCTGCTTGCTCTAAATTGCCTTGTAAATCTTCAGGAACGATTCATCACCTAAACTCCTGGTCTTTGTCTGCACAGACCTTACCTGATACCCAAGGTTTAATGACTATGAAAGTGTCTGCTTCCATTTTATGAGATGCCATGTCTGAATGACTGTTAGCCTTAGCTCCTGCTATACAATTGCTATCCTGAAACATCACTTTGGTGATCTAAATAGATGAGTTCTGCATTCACTGATTTTTATGTCAGCTTGAAATTCTTTCTTATGAGATTTGGGACTTGGAACCCTTAGACCTCAAAAGCTTTACTTCCTATTCCTTCACAAGCATAAGAGCTCTAATTTCTATTGTGTTGCACATTCACACCTTGCTCTTGACTGATAGCTATCACTATCCATAAAAACTGGATTAGTAAAGGTAGGCATTAATATATGGGGATGGGGATAGTTCTAGTTGGTGGTAAAATTTGGTCTGAAAGTCCTAAATTAATCTTTTTGTGTGAATCTCTGAGTCAGTCTTGGCTCCTGGTAGTTACATGAACAAGTCCATGTTGTTGTCTTGGCAACAATTTCAGCAGTGGTTTGCCATTGTCTTCCTCCTAAGGTTTGAGAAAGAGTGACTGACCCAAAGTCACCCAGCTAGCTTGTGGCTAAGAGGACTAGAACTTACAGTCTCCTGGTTTCTAGTCTAGTGCCTTAAACTACTACACCAAATTGGCTTACCTTACTAGAGGGCACTACAGGGGCCTCTACTTTAGATTATAATTTCTAATGATTTGATTGAGTGATTGATTGGAAATCATATTTATATGGCCGTCTGTTTCACCAATGAGACTGGGTGGCTTTGATTTTTGATTTTGCCCCTCTTTGTACAGAGTGGGCTTTTGTAAATGCCTAATAGCATTAATGACCTATTATCCTGAGAAATCTCTCAAAATTAACTATTCGAAAACTAAGGTTTTAGTCTTTTGTGTTTTAGTCTTTTCTAGAAAGTGCTTTAAATCCCAATCAGATGGAAGAATAATTATTGTCTTAAGTTTTGTATTTGTCTTTTATTGGTCTGGGGCTGTAAATGAATAAATAGATAAATGAATAATAAATAGAGGTGCTAAGCATTGCTTACTCTTGCATGCAAATAAATAAAATAAACATGCAAATATTAACAGAAACAAGCATTGGAAATTTGGAAGAAAGAGAAAAAAAATATTTCTCCGTAGCCCCCTCTAGTCAGTGTGGATGGGGGAGAGGGAGAGGGAGAGACATCAAGCCTCAACCCCCTGATTTGTAGAGTACCTCAAGGTTTTCACCCCTCCGGTTTAACATCTCCATGAGGCTTCTGGTGGAGGTCATCCATCAGTTCAGAGTCAGGTATCATCAATACGTTGATGGTGCTTAGTTGTACATCTCACCCCTTGCTACCCAAGGGTTGCAGTTGAGACCTTGTCTCAGTGCTTGGAAGCTGTTAGGGCCTATATGGGGAGGAATAGCCTCAGGGTCAACCCTAGCAAGATTCAGTGGCTGTGGGTGCTTAGCCTCTTGGTTCTGAGGACATTCCTTCTTTGATTCTTAATGGGTCTGAACTGCCCCACTCAGGACTGGTGTGCAATCTAGACTTGAGCAGGTGGCAGGTGTGGCCAGGAAGGTCTTTGCACAAGTTCAACTTGGGCTACAGCTGTGCCCATTCCTGGATTGAGAGGCCCTTCTTATAGTTATTCATGTCTTGGTTACCTTGTAAGTGTACTACTGCAATATGATCTAAATGGGGCTGCCTTTGAAGACCACTTGGAAGTTATAGCTAGTCCAGAATGCAGCCGCATGGGCAGTGATGGGTAAGCCTCATTATGTAACATCCCTACTACATTAACTGCATTGGCTACCAGTTGGCTTTTGGGTGCAATTCAAGGTGCTGGTTATTACCTATCAAACTCTGCCTGGCATTGGGTCCAAAGTAGCAGCCCATCCTGTGTGTTCCAACAGAATCGGCTTGGTTTGGATCCCATTAATTAAGGAGTGCCATCTTGCAGGAGCCAGGAAGGGAGCCTTCCTTGTGCCAGTACCTGCCCTTTGGAACAGCATCCTCCAGAAATTTGACAGGCCCCACCTTGACTGCTTTTAAGCAATCCTTAAAAAGCTTTTTTCCCCTCCAGGGTTAGGGGAATGCCCCCCCCTTTTCAGTTGGGGATGATATGGTCAAAGTTCCTGTTGTCCATTAGACATTGGTTGTTTTTAAAAAATGTAATTTCATTTTATTTATGAAGCCATCCAGAGTTGTTTTGGAGTTAGATGGCCTAGAAATATTATAAATAGATAATCAACTGACAGATAAATTTGCAAACCAAAATAAACTTTAAACTTTTGCAAGGAAACAGGTACCTTATTAATGTGACAATTTCTCCACAACAAAAACTTGTGTATAGAGGCAGAGTGTCAAGTCCACGATGTCCAACTCTCAGTTCTGAAGCATTCTCACACAACCATGCTTGGGTCAGATGAC